TTAGGTAAGTCAAACAATTACTGATTAGGTTGTGGTTACAGAAACTTTATTTTCTCAAAAGGAATATTATAATTTCACTTAATGACAAAAAAATTAAACAAGGTTTTTACTTAGATGGACAAACTTAAATGATAAAATGATATACACAATAACTTTTAAATCGAGGGTATATTAACTCTGGCAACACCTTAAGTTATGGAAAAGACATTAAAAACAAAAAGTTTAAATTATGAAAATAATTATCTACTTTGATATGCTAAACACCGTATCAGTACCGGAATCTGTAATTTTATTGAACATTTTGATATCTATTTAATGGTAATTTTTTGTAAATCTGTGCTTCCTCATATCTTATGTTCTTTTTGTCGTAATTTGTGCGCGGATTTAGAACATTAATTTTATTTGTACTTCGAAGAGATCATACATCTAAATCTTTTTAGTTTTAAAACATACTTATGAGTATACAATTGATATATTTTTTAAAGTGAAAATCTTTATTTTTATTTTTATAGACGCGGTGGACGATTTTTCAATATGTTCGTGTCACCGACATGCTGATGATGACCCGTCAGCATTGTTTGTGCCTTTTGATGATCTTAGTGTGCTCGTCTTAAGCGCTTATTTTACTTTCGTAGGTACTATTAGACGACAATAAGATAAATCACTTTTTTATTTGTTAGTTGCTGAATAAAAAACCTCCTTGTAGCTGTTATAAAAAAAGCGATGTAACTTCTCATCATAAGTTACTTGTAGACTTATAATAATAATATTGTTTCACTACACTGTTAGCATTCTTTCAGGTGTTATAAAAATAAATTACATCTTATCATCATATTATGATCAGTTTATTTACATAATATTGAAATACATATATAATATATTTAAAAAAAAACATAATGAAAAAACTTAAATTCTCATAAAGTCTTGGTATCGTGCCAAGAACGCTGGCTGCGTTTCCTCGCACTGTTAACTTGAACTTGAACCCAGAAGGACGTTTTAAGATTACGAACCATAAAACCCGCGATACGACTGTAAGCACGCGTTAACGACGTTAACTTAGGCGGTTGTATTATATCATAGACGGTGTAGTAGCGGTGCAAGAATATCTACTATCCCATATCGTCCCGTGGGTGTCAAGAGAGTACGGAGGAAAAACAAAGCAGGAGACGAGCACGAGAAAAACCTGCGATTTCTAATCTTACTGCCATGCTTTGTAATCATAGCAATTAAGAAACGATCTATGGGGAGGTCTATGTTCAACAGTTATATCGTGTTATACGTGGTAGAGCCACGCTGCGGCTATGTGATGGTTGTAGCACGAATGGGTCGGCCCAACAAAGGCAGAACCATGCTCTCTGAGAATACCAGCGTAAAATAGTAGCTTAATTCTGTAGTGTTTCGTATGGTGAGTGTAAAGAACCGGAGACCCTTTTTACTGGAAACGAGGCATTCCATCTTAATCCTCTGACAATCCATTTTTATTCTTAATCGAGAACAAATTTAGATCTCTATGGACCACAGCATCCACTTACCATCATGTGGACTGTGTGTTGTTGAATTGTGTGTGCTCGTTTGTCACCCTTATTTTATAAAAATAGTCTCCAAAGCTTACGACATCAAAGCTTCCTTGCTCATTTATCATCTAGATAATCTTTGAATAATATGGTAATTAAGCTAAACAACTTTAAACCCCTTCTGTTTCATTCCACTTTACCTACAGTTTGTTAGATATTTCCTTAAGATTTCCATATTTGAAAAGCGCTATCGAGTTTAGATAAAGGAAACCAATTTAAACATTTCTTCAGTACTTATTCAAAGAAGCCTATCTGGGCTTGCTATTTCGAAATGAAACGTGGCGTTGTGATGGCGGCGGTTTTGGTCTTTAGCCGAAGGGATTAGGCCGGTAGAATTTGATAAAGGCAACCGAAACTGATTTCAATCTACGAACAAATTATAATTTTAGATTATATTTTGGATCAAGTATACTTTACAAGTTGAAGTATTAGCCTACTTGATCAAAAGGAGGAGTTTTACAACACGACTGTGATTTTTTCGTATGTAATGTTACGCGATATCTTCTTCAATCTTTAACTGATTTGGATAGTTCTTTATTGTAAATTAGATTATAGGGGTCCTTTTTCCCCTGTGGGATCTACCCAAAGGGTGGCAAAATAGCACCCCTATTTTGCCACCTTTGTGTAGTTATTAATGTAATTATTTAGACGATATTTAAATTGTGATAATATTTCTTAACCCTCCCGGAAAGGTTAAAAAAAACTAACTTTTAATAGAAAGTTAAAGCCGTCTTCAAACTACTAAAAGTAATAAAATAATTTGACCTGACCACGCTCTCACGGAATACCAGCGTCAATTAGCAGCTTAACGCTGCTGTGTTTCGTTTGGTGAGTGTAGAGAACCGGAGACTCTTTTTACTTGAAACGAGGCATGCCACCTTAGTCCTCACTGGTGATCCAACGCATCTGCATTTTGGTTCGTTATCGAAGATAGATGTTGATGTCTATGGGTCACAGCAATAACTTACTATCAGGTGGACTGTGTTGCTCGTTCGCCACCCTTAAACTATAAAAAAATCACATTGTGAAATCGGGGCTTTAATTCTTCTATACATTGTCTTACTGCCTTGTTGGTCTAGTGGTTGTAGTAGTGCGACTGCCGATCATGAGGTCCTGGCTTCGAATCCCGGGTTGGCACAAAAAATTAATTGTTGAGTTTTTCCGTCAAGAGATTCTCAGTAGCTGCCCGGAGTGAGTAAGTTGGTGCTGTCTTGTACCCCTGTGTCTCGGAAAGCACGTAAAGCCGTTGGTCCTGCGCCTGATCTCTCTCCGGTCGTGTCTGCTTACCGTCCTATCGGATTATGAGAGTGAGGGAATAGTGAGTGCACCTGTGTGTTTGCGCATATACTTGAGCACTATAATTCTGTCCTACGGCTGGTCTTAGTTGAGGCAGGCTGCCGAAACCGAAATTCGGTCTGGAGGACATTATTACATTGTCTTAGGACCGACCGAGCGGTCTCTTAGAGTAGTCGGTTATATATTTACATTTTATAGTTTTCTCATTAAGTATACAGGTATGCTATATGGTTATATTTTTTTCTAAAAACTCAAAATATTAATAAACATATTTAAAATAATGTTTCATAATGTCGATAGATTAACGTGTTATTGAAAATCAAGTACAACGACGTTACTTTTAGAACTCGGATAATCACAATTTATATTGAGAAAAACAGGCTTAATAATTGATTTCTGGTTTTGTTTTTCTATCCGGTATACCATTTGGCGACAACAACACCTTGACCAATATGAAACTTTTGTGGGAACCCTAATTTGTGATTTCTGTAAGAGAACAGTGAAGAGTAATTAAAAACAAAATAATTTCAAACACTTCTTTGTGTAGTGGGGACTTGAGAGAATCCACTTCTCCGTTGTTGTCAAATAGCAGTTCTTGTCCTGCTGTGTTCCTGTCGAAAGGTAGAGAGCCAGAATAATTACAGGCTGTGAGGTATTCCATCGTAGTCCGCAGAGGCAAAGCATCTTTTGAAATGATCCGTCATTACATGAGATTTGAATCCTATATATTCCTCTATATCCTATGTATCCCTGGGATCCTATAATAAATAAAATTAAATCCCACCCCAAGCATACAACTGCAAGACTTCAAGATACCATAAGTTCATACTGTGTAGATCGGAACAAAAGTTAAATTTTAATCTATGGTAACCGCGGTTAACTATGACATCGGGACGTTGAACATCTCAGTCCCCCTGCTCGAAACGTCGGATATTTAAAAAGTTAACTATACGCGATAAAATCCGTAAAAGCTATTATTTAAATGTGTAGTGTTCGCGTAAATATAAGAAATCATTATGGACAGCAGTTGAATACTGAAACTCTGCTCAATTTTAAGTCTCATGCTCTCTCTATCACTTTAAGTCGTAAGTAACTGAAATTAAGTAGCGTTTAAGTATTTGACGCCAGTCTATAAACGGTGAACGTCACATTTAATTAACCTATTATTAAGTCGTTTACGAAGTTTTACTAAGGCTTTAAGTGACGTCCATTTACTGGACAGACGTTGAATCGTTAAGGCACATTTAATAGCAACTTTTTGCTCCACCTTAAACAAATAACAAGGCTAAACTTTATCTCTAATACTATGGATTTTAGTAGTTGCATGGATTTTAAGACTTTAAATATTTTACGTGGTAGAGCCACGCTTCAGCTATATTAGTAGTATAGTTGTAACACGAATGGGTCGGCTTGACCGGAGAAAAACTACGCTCTCACAGAACAACTTAAAAAAGCAGCTTAATGCTGTAGTGTTTCGTGTATGGTGAGATGGAAGCGGCGTCAAAGGTGCGAGACATCTGATTCTGGTGTCTCGTCTAATTGAGATCGCCCATCCGTTTGCCAGTCGTGGCGATCAAAGCAATCCAACGGCCAATGTCCAGCTGTGATCTTTGCGTGCCGATGTTTCAGCATTTTTCACAAATTAACCACATTAAATGAAACTAATTCTGTCATCATCATGTCACATGTCATCCTCGATTACGAATAAAAATGCAGATGCGTTGTCACCCGTGAGGACTAAGATAGAATGCCTTGTTTCCAGTAAAAAGGGTCTCCGGTTCTCTACACTCACCATACGAAACACAACAGCATTTAGCTACTATTTTACGCTGGTATTCTGTGAGATCGTGGTCCTTCCCCGGTCGAGCCGACCCATTCGTGCTACAACTATACTACTAATATAGCTGCAGCATAGCTCTACCACGTATAAAAATTATATATTAAATTAAATAAATCAAATGAAACTAAACTAATTTTCATGGCCACCGAGACCGTGAGCATCCGAACCGTCGTGAATGAAGAAGCGAAAATTAAACGCAATAAAATCCTTAAAATTAGTTTTAATTGATATGTATTGTTCACGTAATATAAGAAATCATTAAATTAAATACAGTAATTTCTTAATTTCAGCTTCATCGAACAAGACAAAGTATCGGGCTTCTGGACGACGATGTTTGTGCTGTCGAAGGTTCCCGAGCTGGGTGACACGGTTTTCATAGTGTTGCGCAAGAAGCCGCTGATCTTCCTGCACTGGTACCACCACATCACCGTGCTACTGTACACCTGGTTCTCGTTCACCGAGTACACCTCATCCGCGCGCTGGTTCGTCGTAATGAACTATTGTGTGCACAGGTGAGTCCTTCAAAGCGTATATTTATAATGACGTATAATATTATGTTTCCCGCGTTGTACTGAAAAAAAAAAAAAGATTATTGCCTTATACATTTTACTATTTTACTTTATATACTTTAGGAGTAAGTAAGGAGTAAAATGGGCAGTAAACTTTTTGACATCATTTTGAGTGATGTCTATTGAAACATCTTTAAAACATCAGTGTTATTCTGTGAGAGTGTGGTCCTTGCCTGTTCGACTCGAGTAGTACTTGACTCAGATTCGATTCACGAGACGAGATGTAATGATAAATACCTGTTATGTTACCTTTAATTCATGATGATTCAATGTTTGTTGGCTAGCATCTGAAATATGCGCGAGTATTTGTGCTAGTAAGCCATTCATCCAATCGCACCTCATACGGCTTGACTTTACGATTATATTTAGAGTTATTGAATGCCCAACTCCAACGCTCAAAATAACACCGACCTTTGTATTTTGTAACTCCAATGAATTCTGGGTAGAGTTAAAATAAACAAGAGTTTTTATTTTAACTATTTCGATGAACAATTTTTTTCGGATTTTAAACATTACAGATTTGAAAGGAATAGTCCGTATGGTTAATACAATTAGAAGTTTCTTAAATAAATATAAATAAAATAAAATGAAAAGATTTTTGTAAGAATGTCACTCGATCACGTAACAACCCAAATTACTAAACGACTTGCATTGGTTTTGCGAATGTTCAGGAAGGATAGGTTAAGTTATTGCAATAACAATGTCGCATAAAAATTATTTACATAAAGATAATACCCATTGTCTAATACAGCCTATATAAGTCCACTGCTGAACATAAGCTTTCACATAGACTGCTACATAGGAGCGATTTTGCCATAGTTGCCATGCTTGCCGCTGATGTCGTCCATCACCTGTTTCAGTTAACCTCTGTCTCCTCTTATCAAACCCGTGGAACCATTATGGTAGTGGATTTTCTTAAACGCTACTACACGGTTAAGGTACTAATAAGGTTAAAAGTAAATAAATAAATAAATCAATCAAAAAATATCGAAATAAAAATAATACGCACCCAATTAGTAATATTTATTGTGAGATCAATTTCATAATATTATGTTAATGTAGAAGAAAAATAATAGTAAAATATTAGTGCCATAGGCTTCTATTCCGTTCACCTGTTTCGCCCTTTTTTTCCCAGACGGTAAAAAAATCATGCTATATTCTACATTTTCAAATTAATCAAAAATAATCAACGTTCCAACCAAGACCCCGCTCAGAATAGTCATTTTCAGTTCACGCGCTACAATATATTTAAAAAAAAATCGCATAGCCTAATTCCAGTGCTACAAGCTACAACAACAAGGAAGTAGGTTAACGTATGCGAATGGTAAATTTAATAACGTTTGTTTTATTTCCAGTGTGATGTACTCATACTACGCGCTCGTCAGTATGGGCAGGTACCCGCCGAAGATGCTGGCGATGACAATCACCTTCCTGCAGCTCACTCAGATGATCGTAGGCTGTGCGATCAATATCTGGGCGCACAACTACATGGCGACCGCACCTCCCCACTCGTGCCACATCAGCCAAATCAATATTAAACTCTCTATGGCTATGTATTTCTCTTATTTCGTGCTCTTCGCACACTTCTTCTACAAAGCCTACCTCTCCCCCAAGCCCGGGAAGAAAGCTAAGGTCGAACCCCTACCAGAAGAACCGAGCACTAAGAAAATTGACTACAACGGTTACCCCAGACAAAGGAACGGCGTCGTCCACTAGTCTTGTGATATGTGTTTTGTACAGGTTACTAATGCGGCTTACGACTGGGGATAATGCTTGGGCCGTAACACTTCTTAACATGCCTACAAGCGTGGGGAAGTCCCTTACAATGACAAACTTTTCAAAGCGATATTATTTTTAATCTGTACAGACGTGAAATTTGTTACGTAAAAATAAAACCTCTTAGCTAGTGATTATATAATTTAAATATCGCTTTATGTAACTATAGAAATGATTGTTATTGTAAAAAAAAATATTAGTTCGTTAATAATACTAATACTGAAATTATAGTATATGTTATTTTAATTGGTAACTGTGGTTTGTTGTTAATGAAATTTTCTATAAAATTTAAAATAACAATTAATGTTTTCTCCGTATACGTTTCTCATAATTTCTATTTAAAGTTAAAAGCAAAGTTATGCATATAAAAGCAGCCTACATGTCCTACTGCTAGGCACAGGCCTTCTCTCATTTCATAGATGGATCAGCAGCTACAAGCTTGTAGCTACTGATCCCAGAAATATTTTTATTTACAGACTTCACGATATTTTCCTTCACCAAATTCACAATGAATAATTTTATTGTTGCCAGCAGGGATCAAACCCTTGCTTGTGTACTGTGAAATTTACAGAAAGCCCCTGAGTTACCACAGATCTATCTTCATCATATATCCATATCACCTTTTATTTATTTTTTCGTTTAATTTTTCAAATATTTATTGTCAATTTCTTATCATGCATCTCTCAACATATGCATGTCTTTTGGTGGATTGGTGCATAAAAGGTCTACATTCAGCAGTGGACTAAAATGGGCTGACTCAGTATCGTAAAACTTTGTACGTGTTTATTGTACTTTCTCTTCGTAGTCATGGGATTCCCCTCCTCAGGCCTTGCATCGTGTTGTATCTTGATTATAACTAAATTTTTCATGGTGGTAATGGAAAATACCTACCTTAAGTTTGTAAATATCAAATCTGCCTCAAATGTTAACAATGAATCCATATAATTATTGAAACATTCGTTAGGTCATAAAGATATATCTGTTTGAAAACTTGTTTAACCATTTCATTGTCCCGTACCTATGAACTTTTCGATTAATTCACTGTTCTGTCTTTTTCGGGAACAGGGAAGTTGACAATTTACAGAAATTTAAGAAATTTAATATTCTGCAGAAAACGTTAACAGTTTAAAATAGTTAAAAATAAATTTTACATTTTCATTGTACTTTTAATACTAAATATTACATTATGATTATGTAGAGAAGCAATAATTGTCCTAGCATTTCCCAGTCTGTGCTGAGGGCAGGTAGGGCGCTCGTAACGCGTTACATTCCATGTTGTAGTTACTGTCACGAAGTGTACCCTGCCTTTAGCTTTGCGGTGCATCACAAACAACATGGCACCCTTTAGTGTCTCAAGACTGGAACGTGGGTCTCTGTACTATTTGGACTTTTGGTGTCGACAAAATTTTTTTGAAAACGTAAAATCGCTTTGGATAACGTTAAGGTACAAATTAGTGTAGGTAAATTAAACTTCGTATTGTTTTTTTTTATTTAAGCTGATTTTTATATAGAGTGATTTAACATTTAAATTATAAATTATTGAACTTGCATTTTAGTCGCGGCTAAAAAACCTACACTCCCTAGGTCATTCCTCGGGTGTTGTTAGATTCGACTAAAAGAGTGCTAGCGATCGTCTATCACTCAGCCAAGCAATTAACAATGTCGTGGATGCCCGACTTTTTCTATCATTAGGGTGGCTACTTTCGAAAGAGGTTAAATATCTAGCAGAAAGTGTAGAGTTAAATGTTTCTTTGAAATATTATTCATATTTGATATTAATTATTACATTAGAAATGAATAAACATAACTTATATTTCTAAATGTAGAAGAATTAAAAAAAGTTAACAATGTGTAAAAGATTAAAAAAGACAGTGCTGAGGCATTGTTTTGTGTCTGGTACAACATAATATAATCAAATTGAAACTTTTTAATTATGGTAACACTGTGTGACAAAAAAAATGTCACGTTAGTGGAACTATCTACTAACTATCGAACTAGCGACATCTGGTGAGCATAATCTTTATAAAATGTAAACATACTTTACACTTTAAGTCCAAGCACAGCGCCCCTCGAGCCAGATATTATAACATTTAGTTATTGTATAATGTATTTATTAATTAATGGAAGAGAAGGGTGATTTTTTAAATAATTTATTTGTAAAATGATAGTTCTTATCGACCTGTACAGAGTGTAAAGTTTGTGACATGCTATCAGTTTTATGTATTGCAGTAACGCAATGCCCTAATGGGGATGGGGTAGAGTTGCCAGATATTATTGTAAGAAATATAGTATTTCACGAACAGATGTATAAAAATATACACGAAATGGAAATATAGTGTTTTACAAATTTAAGAAACAGGGCTGCCAATGATTACAAATAATTATACTTATTATTTTTTAAATATTTCGCCAGGCTTTAACATAGTATTTGCATACTATATATTTCCATTACATTATATACGTTTTAACATACTTACTGAAAATATGGTAAACTATATTATTTGATAAGGTTGGCAACCCTAGCAAGCAGGCGAGTAGGCTCTTACGGATGGTTTTGTAAGGCTTTTGATGCGCTTGTCAAACAAGTGCACAGAGTATGTTTTAGAACTTTACACAACTGTAACATTAGCAGGTTTAAAAGCGTGTCCAATAACAAAAATCGATAATGAACGCAACGATCGATGATTACTTTTATTTCTTAGCCAAATCTATGAAGCAAGAGTTACATTTTGTACATATTATTCAACAATTCCGGCTATATTTAATAGTACAATTGTTATAGTAGGAGAAAATTAGTGGTGTATGTGAGAGTTCAAATTTCAAACACGTGATAAAATTTGTGTGCAAAAATGTTACGGTGGCGCTTCACAACGTGTTTCGCGTTCGCGTACGGTAAACGAGTTATTCGGAAATATTTGACGTTTGTTTTCATTCATATAAACAAGACAAATATATGTGTCATTCCTGAACCGAATATAATTTAATTTAATTTTTAATTTAAAAAAAAAAGAATATTAACAATGCTATAAACATTACTAATATTCCCCTTAACCACTCGTGGTAAGCTTAAATTGCTTGTGTTACGAGTGGTACACGCCAGTAGTCGAATGGCGGATTCGAACCCACGACCTTTTTGAGTTCGCGGTCGGCGCCCTGCCAGTAGGCTACTGTCGCTTTTTAATAAAATAAAAAAATAGAATGTAATCATAGACGGGTTTGCGTGCACTTCGAAAAAAACTAACCCATACAGAATAAGAAAACAGAAATAAGACATACACTCCGACCGTGTGATTTGTCTGCGTGAAGCCGAAACGCATTCTAAGCGGTTTGGCCAACCTCAACCCTCATGTGTGCATCACTTACAAAACCACTTTTTGCGGCTAAGTACCATGTCTTACCTTTTTTGGTTGTAATCAATATTTGTATTTGATAATCCACACTTCAAAATTTACAGCGAATAAAATTTGAGTTTTGAGGTATACTCGTATTTCAAATCGGACCTATATGTGTTCGCTTTTTGTATTAATTCCTTATTTGTGCAAATAAACCATATTAATACGAATAGCCCGTTTACACACACGAAATGCCATGTGCAGGGCCGCCTTCACGTATTCAAATTTTGTGTGTGGCGTTCGCGATAATTATGAAGTCAATTAATAATCGCAGGATGGGAGGCGTTATAGTCCTAACGCGTTTATCATTTGCAGTCCGTTGCAGATGTCCATAAGCTGTGGTATCCACTTATCATCAAGTGAGCTGTTAGCTCGTCACTCCAAAATTAAAGACGAAGTAATTTAGTTGTATATACACCTCTTGATACACTTTCGTTTAGGGGTTAAAGCGGTAGATGGGAGATAATATGCAGGGAATCAACAGGATTACCTTTGTGATAATCTATGACAGAGACCTATGTCCAACAATGGACTTCTGACAGACTGTGGTGATGATGGTAACGTCGATGAACTTCAGAAATGAACGATAATTGATTAAATAATTTAATTACTGATACGTGCCGTCTCAAGAGAGACTCCTTACTACTGATTGGGTATACTATGGAGTGGTCCATAGTATAATCTAGTTAGGGTTGCCACTCGTACTATAAGCTATAACTATATATTTTAGAAAAGTACAAGCACGAACTTTTATATTAACTGTGGTTAGAAGTCTGGAATAAGTAAGTTATACGAAATAAAGAAAATCCGCCATGAATGTTAAATTGAAAGAAGTAAGAAATAGAGCATGTATTATGTAATTTAATTAAAATTAATTGTTAGTTTATTTTAATATGAATCTAAATTGCTCAGACTCCTATAATTATTTTGAAAGTTATTAGATCATTGAAGGCCAAAGCAAAGAGGAATAACAAATATATATGCAAAAATACATAAAGATTAAAAATAAATGTGTACTTTTTTTTCTGAATTTCTCAAAAGTGCTATATTTTTGGATGTTTTTAGGGAAAAATACTATATTTGTTCAAAAAAAGGAGGTGGCAACCCTAACCCTAGTGTTGTACAGAATTACAGACTTACACATAATAGCAAAGGTCATACGAAATCGTATATAAACTGTAGCAACTGACGCACACAAACCTCATCACTTTAGGGAATCTGTTTTCGTTCTAATATTACAAGTAGCAAATAAAAGAGTTCAAAGTATTGTTAAGTTTGTAAGCGCCATAAATGCAAGTACACCAAACTTCTATTTAAAAGTAACTGAAAAATAGTGTTTTAATTTAACAATTTAATGTAGAACAAAATGTCGTTTTTATTAGATTGTATAGAATTTTTCCGTAACACAACCTTGTATTTGAATTCAAGTGACTAGGCAGATATTATAGATTTAGGCCGGGTCAGTTACATCTAGGACCATAGAACGTTGTGACTTTTAGAATTATAAGCTGCTAAATTGCGGTCTGACTTGATTGATTTAATCTAGAT